ACTCTGTATAGATGGTTTTCCTCCTTCTTACGTATTTCTGTGGTGCTGGAGTGTCTCTGCCCTCTTGAACAAGGTTTAGACGCAGCTCTTTTTGTGGTTTACTGGTTACGCACCTCTACGTGCGATAGATCAACATCGCAACCGAAACACTCAAGGAGGACCGAATAATGGATTAACAAACGAAGAAACAAGAAACTCCTCGGAGTCAAATCAATAAAGGTCACAACGGAACTCGGAAGGACAAAGGTCAATCCAACACCGACCAGACTACGACGGCGAGGGATGCCAAATTCCAAGGTCACGTGGGCATCGGCGAATGAGGACACGGGATAAAAGGACAACCAATGGAACCGCCCGACAGAATAACTAAGCGCGGTCAAAGGTCATCCCCGGCTACCAGCACGTATATCAACACACACGTAACACTACTGAATGCACAACCACTAACCAACCGCTACGCACAACTACGCACTGATGGTGTCACCTCGATTGGTGATGAAACGTTTGCAACCAAATTGCCCAGCTCAGCGAACAAGCAAACGACCATACGTGGATGTCGACCAGATGGCTGTTCGAGGTTCGTAATTTGCTTGCAGACACTTCGTTACTAATCGTGGGGACAGCATCAGAGTACGCAGTGACCTTCGATGTGCCATAATTTCTTCCTGGTATTAGCCTAACAAATGAATCTCCAATTGATTTATGGACTGATTTTTCAGCTTACTGAAGACTCTGATGAATTTCACAGCTACCCGGTAAAAGTACTGAGTAACCACAAGTGTTGTTTTCTTGTCATAAGCCCCCGCTCATAGTTTCTCTAGTCCACAGACAGTTTCCTAAATGGAATTCTGTAATGTGAATAGCTAGACGGCCTTCAAGACAAAGTCAACCACTGAACAAAAGTCCACCAACTTTCCGTACGAAACAAAGGAGACACCTAGCGAAGGATTGTAAAGGTTTTAGTAAATGCTGTAAAGGTGTCTGGGCATTCGAACACTGTGGGCCTACAAAACGTAGTTAGGAATAATTCTGTCCATCGTGGATTTAAAGCCTGCAGACTCCTGCCACGCCCCCAATTAAACCCTTTTTTAAACTGGCTACCACCCTGACAATTCATGGACTTGAGGTTTATTGCATGAAAACATTGAGCATATTTCTTATTCCTCTCGGTTTATCTAAAGAAATTCTCCGTTCCAATCTGGAGGGACTACTCTGGGGAGAAACTGGCCTTCAAAAGGGCTATCTCCTTATTGTCACCTGGTTGGGAACTTTATTACTAAAGCACAGTTTAGATTGGAGCATCTCAATGGATATCATTCTGGTTGGTCCTCTGAAAGGACAGGATTAGTTGCATCAGTTTGAACGGAACTCCCACCTATTCGAATTAATTGTAACAAGCAATTGGGGACGTAAAAAGGCAACCGGCCGGGACTCTTCTACATTTTTCCATAGTCTATGTACCTCGTATTGCATACTAGCCCATCCAAAACGTACCTTAAAGCTTACGGATATCTGTGAGATTTATTCTGATTACCCTTAGAAAAGCTAACTAATCGATATTTTTAGTTACAAAATTGTCGGTCACTCGTAAGATTATTCCAGCTTCACAACCCTGGTTCAAACAGTCGATAAAAACCACAATTTCTGTTGTGTCTACCATCTAGTCAGACTTTTGTTAATTGAGCCATCTATCCTCAAGTCATTTGCACAAACCCAATATTATTCTCGGGGGACCGTTCTGAACGGTTCACAATAAAGGATGTTGGAGAAAAAACTTGAGTTCCGCTGTTCTCAGGACACATCAGCAAAAGTTTCGCACCGCGATTTAGGTCATGGTCTGCGACACACGAGCGAAACCTACTTGTACTACTATTCCAGACCACACTGAACGAGCCCAAGTAACCGGGTGTGTCCATGTAAAATTGACTGCACATTCAGCGATGTCTGTGAATGTACCAGAGGATGGAGTTGATGGCTCTAGCGTCTTTAGTCTGTATTTGGGATTCAAAGTGACACTGCAACTGGGTATATAAACCCCTCTGTTGTACTCCCATAGGAACGCACACCTTGCTCCTCAGTTTTATTTTACACAAACTTCTGTTTCCACTTCAGCAATAAGAATAAGCTCGCCCAATAGACGATATGAAGAATCGAAATAGAGTCATACAACAGTAATGTGTTTCCCAGGAAGTTAGTTTACTACGCAATGGTAATATAACTGATTCTTTTCAGTAAAAGGGATGGTTCATGATATTGTGGAATATAGTTAGCTCCGGTGTGCAGAATGGTTGTTGGTCTGTCCCCACTCAACTCCGCACTGACTGTCACCTCGATTGGTGATGAAACGTTTGCCATTCATCTGCCGTGCTCAGCGAACAGACCAGCGACCTACCTTTACCATATTAGGTTATTCGTAATTAATGGCTGCGTTGTGATGAGAAGGGCTTCACACAACAACAATTTCGGTGGTTAAGGTCAACCAAGCTCCACGTAAATAAACGCTTTTTATTAAGGACGTCTACTGCTTCAGCTCCACCCACAAGTGGGGCACTAGTAAGCAAAATTTCATCTTTAAAACGATTAATTGGAACTTGAAGCTGGCACAAACAAAACACTACAGATTCTCTTTCCTGTGCTTCCACTTTTTATCGTTGTAAAAACTGATGCACTAACGATGATAAGCCTCGAATTTGTCTAAGATCGATCCCGTTGACATATCCTCTGTTCCAAAAATAGAATACGGGGTTCCTGACACAATAATGTGTGGCAGAGGTATTCATACTTTTTTCGGCTATGTACAATATCAAATTTGGTTACATTGATGCACCGAATTATGGTATGTGCGGAATCCCGAACCATGCAATCTCGGCTGTCCTATTAACCAGAATCTTAGCTGATCTATGGTCTGGATTCTCCTTATTGGCGCTATCAGTCGCAAGATATTCGTTTGAAAAAATGCCACCGACTTTATCACTGGATCGATTTAAACAAATTCCTGCTTTATCAGAATTTTGACAGCCTCAAAAACAACTCTTATAACATGGCTGATACGCCTGCCGCAAAGATCAATTGGACACTCTAAACCCTTCAGTGAGCTTAAGCGTTACTGCCGTAAGATGTTATTATAAATTTTGAACAAAGTTTACCCTACTGAATTCTACTGAGATCCCTGGTGCCAAAATAGCTTATTGTTTGTAATCATTTGGGTCAAAAGTGTGCTGCCCAAACGTTTTTATGTGACAGAATTTGAACGATTTTGGTGGCAGCAGTCTTATTATATGAGTGACGGTCATTGGGATGTCGTATAATGAGACCGGCGTCTTCAGCACTGACTGCCATAAAATATTGTCGTCTTCAGCTTTTGTTCATCCCTTCGTCAGAAGTTTTGAAAGTGCTGGGAGTCAAACTTGTTTGCTGTACACAAGAAATAAAGTTGATGTTTGACATCATCTGCTTACCTCTGAAGATAATAACAGGGAATTTACTATTCGAGCTTGCATTGCCATACAGTGGTTGCTTTGGTCACAACTACGGGATGGAACTCAATCAAAGGGAGATGATATAAACGCGTACACTTGCTCTATTCGATATTAATAAAAAACAACGCTAAGAAAGACAGAAGGGCTTTGGTTAAGTCGATGAGAATTTTCTCTAGTTGCCTGAACTAAAACTACACAAAAGCGTTATTGATTTATTCAATGAACTTTTGGCTACCACATGGGAAGTATGGATTGAATTGTACAGTCTAATTGTCGATGCGGCAAAGCGATGGCTAATGGGTGACGGGAATCGAGCGGTTACTGTATAATGAACAGTACATTTCGGTGAACATTTGCCGAAATTCTACAGAAATCGAGTTGCAACTGTGCGTTACGAGAATCGACAGGGCGAATAAGATACTTTAGCAGACTCTTGAGTTTTTGTCACCTTATTCGGCATTTATTATCTGGATCGTTTGAGCGCATAGAAATGGTTCCTTCTGACCAATTGTTGCTTGATGTGAAAAACTTCTGTCGGGATCACTGACCATAGCGGAGAACTCAGATAATTCTCCCTGACCCCACTAGCCGCCTTGCTGAGGTTGCAGTAAATCTTAGGAGAAAGGCAATTACATGTTTCATTTGGTACGCTGTTAAAGAACTTGGAGCGTTTTGTGGACCGTCAGATTGCACAAATCCTGTCACAGTGCAGCCACAATCCATCATCTCATCAAATGCACCTTTCAAAACTATACTTAGGAAGGGTAGATGCATAGTCAATGAAACTATTGTAGGCATTTATATTCCACTTGATCACTGTCATTACCTGTAAATTGTCGCTGATTCAAAAAATGAAAACTCAGGCAAGAAAGTATTTCGATGCTCCTTTCACCGGTTTTCATATTGGGATGCAGCATCCTAAACCTCTGGAATGTCGGAATCTATACAAAATTTCATCATTTTTTTCTTTTGAAAAAAAAAACAGTATAGCAAAACACTACACGCTCTTTGTTCCAAAACTGTGGGCCCGCTCATCAAAGCTACATCGAAGAAATTTTGGGTGTGTTAATTTGTCTGGTCACAGCTGCACCGACTTGTGTGAGTCTTTTTGATATGCGTCGAATAACGGGACGTAAATCGATTGAAGAATGGAAACAAAATAGCGCAACTGACCTTGTTTTGTCTCAGTTTTCTCCGATCCCCGATGGAAGTAAAAAAGCGCGTCTAAAAATACGAAATTTGTTCTTGAAAAATTGTTTTGGATACAAATGTCTTCGTATAAATGTGCAGGAGAAACCGGGATCACTGACGCAAGAAGTTCTTTTGTTAGTTTGTACTTTCGGCTAGTGATGGCAAGCGCCATCACCGCCGTTGTTCATCTACTGGTGCGCCGAGATTATTCAAAAGAAATAGAAAAAGGCACGCCATATAATCGATCTGATTTCGGACGGGATTTCTCATAATGTGGCCCTGATAGGTTTCACAGAGGTCCGTAACTGAAGCCGAAATATTGTTAATGCACATATGCAACCGACTCCCAGTAGGGTACTTAGGATAAAAATTGTAATGATACTGAGTGTGAGTATATTCTGATACCACAACATGTCCTGTCTAACATCTTTATTGGAACAGATACTTCCGCTATCCAGTTTTTCAATGAGACGTTGAGCAAGTAAGGACCAATGCTTGTACACATCTGATTGTGACATCACTGCAGTTTGTTGGTCTTCCTTAAAGTTTCGGTGTCTGGGCGATAGAATTGTTCGTTTTGCTCTTCTCTGCCGACTGATCGATGGACGGACTGTAGATCCTTCCCTATTATTGTCCAGGTGAGCTGGACAAAGGTTATTCTGAGTACGTTCATCGGCCCATATGATGAATTCCGTCATTTTTGGGCATAAGTATCGCCACACAACTACACAGTTTGAAGAAGAGCTTAAACCTGCTTCATAGTTATGTAGTCCGATGGGATCAACGCGTTCAACTCTCCTGCATCCTTCAATAACAAAATGGTCCAGCTGAAGTTCACGTAGTAATGTCTTGTCGATCGAAATAATATTGTTACCGTCGATGGCCAGATAGCGGAGCCAAGATTTTATGTCTCTTAACTCCGAAGGCCCCAGAAATAGCAGTTGAAAATCCAGTGTCACATACAGATCAACCCGTTGGCTACGATTGAGTATTTGATTTGCAATTTGGAAAGCCACTTGATCGCTCAAAATAGTAACCGGGCTAGGTGAACTTTCTCGAACAGTTTTGATGGTCCGGATTACAACGTGTATCAAACTTCCGGTATAATGAGATATACATGTTACAGAAACAGAAATTTCTTCAGTTGTTGATGTTGGCCTCTCTGATTTTGGACTGCAATCCATTACGGTTGGTTGGAATTCTGCCGAGGCTGAGGCAACTGTGTGTATCCGTTCAAATTCTCTCGTGCCAATAGGTGGCCGCAGATAGCATGTTAGGTGACAAGGAAAAGATACATATTCCCCTTCATTTGAATTGTGAATCTGTGATCCGCTTTTTCTAGCCAAAGATCGATCGGTTAGCATCATGTTGGTCACATATTCTTTACTGATTGTCGTAATGTCTTCAACAATATTCAGAATATGTTCCATTCCCAAAAGTAGTGTATCATTTGCATCTTCGGACGCGACGGAAATCCTTGAATCATCCTTAGTTGTGTTGATCACAGGCGGGTTGGCATTACTGAGTCTTGGATAGGATAAGGATGTCGGAGAGCCTGTCCACAGAAAGTTGAAAATTACACAAACCATAAGCAGTTCTCGAAGTCCGCCGACCCGTGTATGCATAATTCTCTAGATGCACACAACCAACATCATTTAAGGGCTGGTTCAGCTGTGCAGTCGTTCACATTCAGCATCGCGTTTTATGGAAATCGGTTTCCTGTCTGCGCCACGTGAAATTCGGAGCACCAGACGAACGTGGACAACCGATGATGTCAGGATGGTGTGTCTACATGCGTGTCTCTGCGTGAGTATCAAAACACCTGGAGGTTAACCAATGACACCGCCATTTGGTACCTTGCGGTGTGCCTGGGGTTTACGTATATGATGGATTGTGCACACGCGTAACAACGGGCGAAATTGGAACAAATTTGTACTAACCTGTTTTGTTCTATGGGGCTGCTAATTGGTAAAAGTCAACCACCGGATCAATGACGTCGTGGAATTGATAAAGGAACAAAAGTAACGATATAATTACTGGCAGCCGTACCCGCTCATACACGATTTTATGGAAACCACTGAAAAGCCATGTCTATAACCAATTTTTCTCGACTTTGGCCTGTACTAACGTCTGCCGGAAGTACACTTGCAAATGAAAATAGTTGTTCTGAGACAGGAAGAATGAGTGTGATATCTAAAATGTCTTAAAACAGCAAAGCCTGGTATATTCCAGAAATTGACAGAATGTTCTGCAGAGTATAAATTCGCCCATTAACTATGAGATTCTTCATTAGTGGACGAGCAAAGAAATATTTTACGGTGGCGCTACTCGTTGGTAGGTCAACAGTGCATATGGTGACGTGTCTCGCCGTCAAAGAAGTTGCCTGACGGAGTCGACAAAACACCTTTTCGCCTGCGGGGATTCTGTTCAAAAGTGATTCAGTATTCCTAAACAAGAGTATGCTTAAGCCACTTATCCCTGTATCTAGGCTTACTGACTGCATTGTTCAGGTGTTTCTATACCTTATCAACGTCCTTCTAATTGCCACACCAAAAGTAGCTGGATGTTCCAATTCCCACAGTGAATGGCACTGAACAGTGTTGCAGCGGCAGTTGTCTTGTCGGATCAGCCCATTCAACTTTATTGTTGGCTCAGTGGAATCTGTAATGTACGTATAGTGCAATGCTCTCTAGGAGTTTTCTGGCTGCTGTTGTCATTACATCGCACGTACAATACTAGTTGAATCGAATTTTGCCTCAGTCCGACTGGACTTTTTTTAAAGCATATGACGAGCTGTCAAAACATAACTAATTTCTGAGTGAAACCCACTGCCAGTTGGCATTTGATTCGCGCAAGGTGATCAAGTTAGGTCAGATACAGTTCTTTCGATGTCTCTGTGAAATCCACCACAGACATAGTGATTGTTGATATGCTTATTTGTACAATTGAGCAACAAATTTGCAGTGGTCTACCCAAACAATATCAATAACGTTCGTGTTAAGCAATCTGATTAAGCTGAGTTGCCACTTGAACATTCTCATTTGTAGACGTTCTACTTGAACGACTACAAAGAAGACTTTTCGGTTCTGTTAGGAGTGTCCATCAAAAAAATACAGCTGCTCCCAATCAACTGGAAAATGTTTTCGACCGACTGAGGAATCATCGTTTCATAAATGCTCAGTAAACAATCAACCGATTGTTTACCAAACCTCTCTGAAAACATACTGCTGTTATTTCATGGAAATTAAAGAATTCGCCATACCGAATAGTACAACGGAGTGTTATTCGTGATTCCATGTCGTTCTCTCAGTAGTCAGCGCTTCCATCAAAGAAATTATTCCATCTACTTTACTGTACGAAACCTCGGACTAGGTATTTTGGTTCCCAGAATAATGACTGTAGCAGAAGTAACCAAGTACTAGAGTACGCAAAAAAAACTCTACAGCGCTCACAATCAGAAAATCTGTTATCAGTGGCACTGGGTCCGTTGAAAACAACAAAGTCGGGTAGCAGTGAGCAGCAGTCGAGAAACACGTCTGTACACCCTCAGATCGTGTAAGCTTCAGGCCCACGTGGCGAACCCATCAAAACTCAAGTCATATCAAGAAAGTGAACTTCCTTATTTTCACTTCCTGGATCACCGAGGCATTTCTTAATAATCTAACTTCAGACTGTTCGTCGCCTGATTCTGCACATTTTCAAGCTTACTTACCAGAAAGCTTACTTCAGAGATTAAAATTATTTCACCACAGTACTATAGTTTAGAAGAAGCACTGAACTTTTGTGTTGCCGTCATTCTGTGGCAGATTCTTTTTCACAATTTTGGTAAACCATTAAATTATTGATAAGCTTTAGGGTGTACCAATTTAGCAAGCATCATTTGTCACCAGTAGAGAAGCATTTTCTACGTTGGTGAAGTCAGGGCAGTTGGTAAAGATCGATTTTGGACGGAGATGCTTTGGAAATAAAATATTTTGACATTTTGGTCAATACAAGGATTTCATTTGATACTGTCCAGATGGCATCATTGCGTGACTGCTTAAAGGCGATCGTTAATGTAACCTGAGTAGTTTAGAAGCAAGTATAAGATGTTGCGAACACGGAGGCTACTTGATGGGGGCAAAACGCCACTAGAGTAACTACGTTTGTTCTACTTAGATTTTTTTTCAACAAGGCCAGCAATGCACAGTGACATTCGCACAGATGAAGCGCATCCTAACTTGAGATCTAAGTGTGAATTAACTGTCTGCATAAAGGAGCAATATCATCCGTGCTACAGCTAGGAAAACCGACACGCCATCTGAGTTGGAGGTTTGAGTCAGCCTCCGATATCCTGCAGTAATTTAGATCTAGATGTCCTAACTGACATCGATTAGCCGCCAAATCCTGCAAAATCTCCAGACAAGCACAAGTCGGGTCACGGGGACCCCATCCTGGAAGGTTTACAACACCAACTTCATAAGACACATTTCCGTCAGATCTAATACAACTACAACTACTTACCGAGGTAAGTAAAATTTTCCACGACCTCCAGTGATTCTTCTTGAATGTTAAGGGATACGTTCGAGGACTGCACTTTCTGAAACATGACTTTGTACTTTGAAGGCGCAAGGCGCATGCCAAAAGATGGTATGATGGTGGTCAGTTTATTCAACCGGACTAGTGCTTCGCTATGGTCTTCAAAGATGAGGGCGATATCATCTTCGTACTCAAGATCGACAAGGCTCTCACCAGCAACAATTTGAACACCGGGGTTTTGAAAACCGTCCAGTGTTCGCCTCATTATTTCGTCGATGACGAAGTTGAACAAGAATGGGGAGAGTGGACATCCTTGTCTGACACCGCTTTTTGTAGGGAAGCTTTTGGTGAGCTCACCATACATCCTCATCCTGGATAGCTATCTCCTTTTCACCACCTGATCTGACTCCCTGATAGTATTTTGTACGAGGTCCAGTTCTGCCCTTCTGTGACAGGCAAGAGAAACGTTCTCAAACAAGGAAACGGAAGAAATCCAATACGTTGTAGGAAAATAAACCCAGTGTCATTCTACCGGCCGATCAAAGATGCCTGACTGTAATTCTGGACAAATCTGTCTATATAAACAATGCGAAAATCATATTCAGGGACATCACTACTTATCTCTGTCAGGAGAAAAGCCGCTGTTGTTAAAAGACCACTAGATTAAACTAAACAAGCCATAAAATATGCTTTGCCCATCATCTATAGAAGCATGAGACCATGTTTTTGTACACATATTTACGTGAGAAAAAAACCCTAGAAAGAGAGATTATGCGGATTCTATGAATACTACAGTAAAAACTATGATATATCGCGGCACACAAAATTCGAGGTCCAGACTCATTCTTCTGACTTCGGGACGCAATAGATTACTGATTTTCTGGAGATTTGCTAGTAATTATCATGAATTCCAACTACAAAACTATTTTGTTGGATTGGTACCATGCGAAGTGAAGAAAATACAAGGGCTGAGATAGTGACACTTTGACTGGTCTTAGAGCGAAGCGACTGAATAATCAGTTCATATTTTCAATCATACCTAACTTATTGATCTTTTGACCTCCACTCCAATTTAAATGTACCTGCTTACGCCAGCCGAAGTTTCGATGCCAGTGACCGCTAAAGCGAAACCGTACAGCGGACGTAGTACTTAAAACCAAACGTGGTTATGTTTGCTGGCTGTACTGAGCCGCACGGTGCCTCATCATTTTCTATTCTCCTCAGCATCTTGTTGTGAATGCTTTGTTGCAAGTCTCTTCAGCTAGGGTACTGAGAGTTCGCTTTTCAAGGACCCCGAAGACACCTCAGGTCACTTGCCCTTAAAGTTCAAGACCCCCAGTCATCCAATGGCCCACCCGTACAGACTTACGTACATAATTCCTGAAAATCACTCCCTGAGGCTACGGGTGGTAAAAATAAGTAAACACAATCGAAACTTTAGGATTGATGCTGGAAATTCATTCGCAACCGCACCAAGAAAGCCACTTCAACTTCCAATATACGTAAGGTGATCTGCACCTTGTGTGCGTAAAAGATAGGCTATTCCATCATGTGTAAAATGCAAGTCCTTTTTGTACTTTTTGAAAGTGGGAACAATGCCACTCGAGTAATAAAGGGATCTCGTCTACAGCTATTTTACAGCTGGAATTCTTCAGATTCAGGGGCCTTCAATTCATCACTTCGTCAATTCTGAAACCCAAAGGAGCACTGATAAAACACTACCTGCAAGGAAACTATCAGTGATCTATAGCTCACCTTGGTTTCACTTTACCCTGAGGTATAAGAGTGCTGTCCCGAGCATAGCAGTTATCCGGGATTGCTTGGTACCTTCTAAATCTACACGAATAGTTACCACCACTCTTTTGAGTAAAGGAGACCGTAGACCACGTGGGGAGCAAATTTCGTCGTATAAACTTTGACCGCATTGAGCCTCATCGAAGTCCTCTGCAGTACTGACAGCACCCTTGAGGTACGTTTAGAAATTTTCCAACTGTTCTTTGCAAATAGGTATCCAAACATTGTAGATATCACCGACAAAGGAGATAAAATAGACTGACTTTATTTGTCATGATAGCTCTCCTAGATATAACCACTGAATGTCTCTAGGTACCGTATATGTTACATGGAGAGAGAGGTCTTCTTGATCGATACATGGACAGGAGTGTCACTGAATCAGAGAGACAGAACGCATCTGAATGCAAACCACGCGAGCTAGCCATGAGGGTGGATACCGACAGTAAATTGACGAACTGTCGTTGCACTCACAGCGCCTAGGCAACAGGTCTGTTCAGCACGAGTTTCTGATCAGCCCAGACAATCTTAAGCAGACAATCTTGAGAGCAGATTTCCGCAGGAGCACAACATCCATGGAGGACCTCAAGTGGGGCAAACCGATGACGAATTACAGCTGGGTCAAGCTTGAAGATCACCCAAGCACTGCTGTGTACGAACAGTATGCTCAAAAGCTACCTTCTTGTACTGTTCCATCAGTATTATCTGTGATCGAGGAGTAGTCCGAGCTGTTCACAGGCGATTAAGATCCGCTTGGATTCTGCCCGTGGACTGAACAAGAGATCCCCATATCATCCGAACGTTATGGACCCTAACCTCCCCATCAGATACCGCTCCATGTATGGTAGGAGGTCCATAAACAGGTTCAAGAGGTTCTGGAAAATAGAATGCATGCAAATTTCGAAGAACGAAGTTGTGTGACGGTGTAAAGTTGTGATGAAGCATGGGCGTAGTGTCTGGTCTGGTGTCCAAGCTCCACCCCTTCTAATGGAAGAAATTTATGGAACGCCTTTACAGTGTTTTTTCACTACTGTTCAATGAAAGTTCAATAGAGTGCTTGAAGACGTTCACTTTTTATAAAATCTGCATCGACAAGATATTCACTCTCGTGTCTGGTGGCTTGTGACCAATTAGTTCGTGTTTGCTAATCAAGAAGTTCACATTGGACAGGACACATCAGTAGTAATGTAAGTATCAGGCGTGCTTAACCACATTCTCGTGGTTCCAGCTAGCTAACGCGGAAGTCAGTCTGCGTGAGCAGGATTTCAGCAGGTCCAGTCTGGGCCACTCACTCTCTTTGGTTTCAATCTGCTCATTACTTTCGACAATGTACAATACGAATCATCTGTCATTTTCGCACCAGTTCCAACCAGCACACAAGAGAGACTGGTGGGGCTCACGTGTGAAGAATGTGGAAACGGTTGAAAATCAAAGGCTGGCTTACTAGCGCCGGCACGGAAACCTCATCCAGCATAATGTGGATAAGCTTGATCAAGTGAAGAATTCCGATGCTTGCTAGTTCCAACAAGAGTTACAATCATTCTTGCGCCTGGCCAATAATCTAAGTCCGTCTTGTGAACACAGACCAGGCTGTCGGAGATATTGGAGGAATATTTCCCTGGTCGATGGGCTATCGACATAAAAACCAGGTTACGTGTGCTTAACTGGCAAGCACAACTGGACGAATCTATGGCTTCTGACCCCGACCAAACTACCAGTCAAACAATGGCCTATTCGCCAGAATCTGAAGACCGCAGCACCGGATTGAACTGTCCCGCGTCCTCCTTGAAATCCCATTCAGTCAGTTTGCTCGCTAGTTTTGACTTTCTGGCTTTGCCCGAGGATTGCAGTCTGGCATTATGACACCGGATTAAATCCTATCACTTTTGGAACTCCACGCCTCCATGATATTTCTACACACGTAGGATCCTGTCTCTCGACGCCTGATCCACCGCCATCATGGCCACGCCATGATGGCCAGACAACCCTTTGTGGTGGGAACTGTTGGCAACCGGAGAGTTTGGAGCATATTCTACAGTCCAGGTGGATCACGCATGGTGCTAAATGTGCTCGTCATAATCGGGTTTCAAGGAACTCGCAAAACGTCTATGTCCCTTGGGATGCACCGTCTGCAAGGAGCTGCGAACACCTACATCGATATTTTCTATCAAGCCTGACCTAATCGCAGTACGGGAGCTCCAGTCAACTGTGAAACACATGCATAATCTCGGGTGAGCGCGGAATGACTGTGTGGAACGAGAAGGAACAGGAGTAAGATGCTGATGATTCTTCCCCCGACATCATCTCAGCCGTGAACGCAATTGGCTGTGATGTCGACTTTTTGTCCACTATCCGATGGATGATCTGCCTTCCTCGATCCATCAGGGCTGTTATTGGACTTGGACTTCCTAAAGTCATTCAGCGATCTGTGTCTGCCCGCCATTTTGGGCTCTCTACGTACTTACGACACTTCTATGCGTGGTACATGGGGTTGAGTGTTCATTCTTGCCGTTGACTTTCACGCCTGACCAACTGCTCGGTGTGCGATTCTTGTCTCTGGTAGCGCTTACTGAGCCTTAAAGGGCATTCAGCTTTTTTTGTCGTTTATTTGGCTGCTGGTCTTCATATGTGTCTCTCCATACCAATTACTCTTAAGCGTATCAAGGAGTCACCTTGTCCGACTGAAACAATGGGTCGCACGCTTTCAAATGGGGCGCTTTCCGCGTTTTATCTTATATTCCTCTATGCACTCGCCCGCATCTATTCTTCATTTTTGTGGCCATGATTCTCAAAAATAAATTCGAATAATGGTAGTGTAACGGTGTATGCTACTGATAAAGTGTACAAGTAGTCTATAGTCAGATGTTCATGCTCCGCCCCCCGCATCCGAGGTGGATGTTGCTCTGAAAATTATGGAACCACCCTGCAGTGCTCGTTTACTATCGTTTGACATTCGATAAACATCCAGGAAAGTTCAATGGGAAGCGTGAGAATGTTCGTTTTTGAAAACTCTGTGCATATCAGATATTTATTTTCGGTATAATAAGCCTGAGTCACTGATGGCAGTGGAATGATTGTGTGGAATAAGAAGAAGCAGAAATGAGTTGCCGAGGTTTGTTCTCCTACCATTATTTTAGCCTTAAATGACATCGATTTCAATGTTGATTTTTTTGTTTCACCACCCGATGTTCATTTCATATCGACGGATCTGTTTTCTCCCATCCGCCAAAACTGCTGTTGAGTGGGGCTTTCTAAAGTCATGGTCAGTGACGTTCGTGCCGTCTTCGTAAATAAAACACCTTTATGCAAAGTGGATAGCGCTGCCAAGTTCCCTCACATCTGACGGACAACTTTTGCCTGATGTTTGAGTTTTGACTGTGCGAGTGCTTACTGTGCCTGGAAGAACACTCACAGCTGCTTGTTTCTCTTCAGTGGCTGGTCATTCCACGTGTGCTTTTAAAAGCGAACGATACAGTGGCAGTATTGTGACAATTTCAGTGCTAAATACTTCAAACTGCAAACATTTTTCAAGGCTATATAATCGCAACCGGCCACAAATTAAAAATTGCAGACAAGAAGGACGGGCCCAAAACCTATGACTGAAGTACCCGAGTGAACATACACGTCAGCTTTCGGTTATGAAATGATTGTTTCCGTGGCCGAAATTTCTGTTTTTCTGGCAGTTGTGGCATCACTGTGATTCGCGGACACAACCTAATGGAGCACAATGAAAAATGCTTTAAAATCATAGAAGATACAAGCCATTCCACACGGATGGAGACCAGAGACGAGTATGCACCGCAGTCGAATGCCTTTGCCAGTAGCGTTTAGCAGTTATGAATTAGTTGTTAGTGCACTTTTGACGTCATCTAAATGTGCTCCGCGGGGACCTCTGTTTATAATTGAGGGCGATCCGGAGAGTGTCCTCTGTTGAGAGAATCGCTTTGTTTTTTTTTAATGTAGAGAAAGAAAGACAAAGAAATATATGCTGTTGTGGGACTTCCGGTAGGAATTCTGCTCGGATAATGTTAAAAAGACTGCGCGGTAAGTGGTTGTCCACTGCAAACGAAACGTCCGATTACAACAACTTACACTACACCGTGTTTTTACCTTGAAAATTCCAGCTGAAATTGGTGTATCAATCTAAATTTCAGCATTACCCGTTCACCACAAAACTATCTAACTCGATGTCCACTTCAATGACACTTTTATTCGGTCTCGTTAAATTCTGGTTTTGAATCTGGCGGTAACGAAGTGTGAGCCAGTCTTAAATCGCATGCTTCCAAGTTCATTGAGTTGATTGAAGACGGAAATGTATTTTTCCGATAAACCACTCTACTTACCAGACGGCTGAAAATTCCTCGATTATGCTATTCAGATTCCTCCCTTCTTGAGACCATCAGGCAGGCGTATTCCTTCAAGTTTCATCATTCATATCTCGTAGCTAAACAGCAAACTGTACATAAGTGAAGTCACAAACTCTGTTTTAAGTCAGACTGATAATGAGGGAACGTCAAAACGAGGTATTAACTAAATCGCTGGCTCATAAAACTCTTATCAGGGGTATTTTATCCCCCTGACAAA